TTTATTTGACCTATTTATTTTATATAACTCTTTTATTTTCTAGAAACTCCTTTTGTTTTTGTCTACATATTTTTTTGTGTTGATTAGATAAATATATGCACTGATTAATTTAACACTAATTGATAAAATGTAATAAATCTAATTGATAAAATGTAATAAATTTAATAAAATGTAGTTAGAATTGTTTTATTTGTAAAAAAAAAATTAAAAATCAGAAAATATTAAAAAATAATAAAAATATTAAAAAATAAGAAAATATTAAAATAATAAAATATTAAAAAATATTAAAATATTAAAATAATAAAATATTAAAAAATATTAAAATATTAAAATATTAAAATAATAATTTAAAAAGTAGAAGACGCCACTGGTGGCGGCGTCTCCTCCCGGTGCCGCCACCGGCGGTGGCGTCTCCGTCCGATGCCGCCGTTCCCGGTGGCGGCCAACACCAATTTAATTACTACTTCAAAAATAACCCCATTTTAAAAACTCCAACACAAAACAACCCCAAAAAAAAAATTGCCCCCTTATAGTCCCTTATAAATATGCAATAGACCCCTCAGATGGAAAATATTTTGAACTAAATCCAATTGACTTGTAAAGACTTTTGCCTACACCCAAATTCCACTCTTAATTAGTGAGACCCCCCTAGACTAGTGTGAGAAGACAAAAGTACCCTCAACTACTATAACCCTAATTATTGCCCACATATCACTTTCATCTTCTCTCTTCTCCACCTAAATCCCTCAAAACACTCCTAAAATTTCAAGCTTCATCTACCGCCGCCACCACCACCGCCACCGCCACCACCACCGCCTCCGCCGCCGCCGTCACCACCGCCGCCGTCGCCGTCGCCGCTTCCTCCTTCCTCTTCACATAAATAATCTCGTTCTCTCTTGATTTCTCTCCTTACATCACCATCGTCTAGATTTGCATACCACCATTGTGGAATTTATTTTTGCACCTTTTGTACTCGCATTGACATGCAAAGGACATGTACAAAATGATATCTTCGGTAATATCTCAGCTTTACACAAATGGAATTTTATCTAGCTGAAACAATTAATTTCATTGGTTCAAAGCATCCCTTGATAAGCATTGTCATTGAAATGGACTGTGGACGTATACTTCATCCCCTTTGCTCTGATTTTTACATGAGAAAGCTGACACGATTATCAGTTAATGCAAATGGATCCGCAATCCCTGAAGACTACATTGACAAGAATTTAATTAAGAAGAACTTATGGTAAGCACGTCTTCAGAAATGATTAGATTCCAACATGAATACGCATTTTAGCTTTGTGGTCAGTGTTTTTCAATTTCAAAAAATGTATAATTATCTTTCAAGCAGTGGTTATAGTGTTTGGTTTCTAGAAGAAAACCACTGTCGTCGCTTGTGCCGCCGCCGCCTCCTTTGTTTTCACGTAAGGCTTCTTCTCTCTTTTTCGTTATCTTTCTCGATTTATCAGTTTTTTTTTTTTTTTTTTTTTCTTCAGATCTGCCCACCACCACCGTCCGCCTCTCTCACTCTATCTTTCGTTCACCACCGCCGCCATCGCCGTTGACTCCCCCTCCCTCTCTTTCGTTAATTTTCTACCTTTATTTATGTATTTTTCGATCTCTCTCTCTCTTCTCCAGATCTGAAAATAGAGTTTCAGATCTGTACAGTTGCAGCAACATGACTATAGTCATATTTGAATATGACTATAGTCATATTTATATATTTAGTTAGACGAATTGAAGCGTACTCCCCCTCCATCTCTTTCGTTAATTTTCTACCTTTATTTATGTACTTTCGATTTCTCCCTCTCTATCTTTTTTTTTTCTTTTTTTTTCCAAATCTGAAAATACAGTTCAAATCTGTACAGTAGTAGCAACATGACTATAGTCATATTCGAATATGACTATAGTCATATTTATGTATTTTTTCGAATATGACTATTGTTGAATATGATTGTAGTCATATTCGAATATGTTCTATATTCTTGTTTCAAGTTGACTTGTAATGACAAGATTCAAATTGTGGTTTTTTGTGATTTTTTTGTGTGGATGTTGATTGCATTGTTTCCCTAAACAATAGGGAATCTTAGTTGTTTTATATAATTTGGTAAACATGACTTTACCACACTATATAATCGGAATTTTGAAGTTAAAAATTAAAAAAAATGCAATATAAAGAAAGAATATGACTACAGTTGATATAGTCATATATTAGACTAGTCTTATTGAACTAGACCAATCTTCGGGGTAGCTCACTTGTTCCAGGAAAAAAAAATCAATTTTTCGTTTAAAAAAATTTAAGAAAATATGACTATAGTCATATTCAACTATAGTCATATTTGGCGTAGTAAACTTGTCGGGAAAAAAAATCAATTTTTCGTTTAAAAGAATTTAAGAAAATATTAAAAAAATATGAAAATTTTAAAAAAAAAAAAAAAAAAAAAAAAACTTTACATTGGGTTTTGATTTTGTATGTGACAAAGCAATTTTTTTTTATTTGTTGGCTGATTTTATGGATTTTAATCTTTTATGGAGCATATTAAACTGATTTTTTATATTTTTAATTAGTTGGCTGATTTTAAGGAATGCGAATATTGAGTTGGAAAAAAATTGCTATTATTTTGGCATTATTTAAGGAAAGCGACGTGTGGATTATTGGGTAGGGGATTTTCTAATTTCATAAGGGTAGTATTGGAATTAATATTTATAAGAGTTTATCACAAAGAAAGATTTAAGGGTTGAACATATCATCATTTATTACTCATCCAAGGGGTTTATTGCTAAAGGCCCCAAGTTATTATAATTTAGTTTCGTTTTAGTTCTTTTTTTTCACCGTGTCTCTATTGTCTCAATTTCATCTCCTGATGCTACAATTCAGCTTATTATAGTCCTTCGGTGTATAATTTGGGTTAACTTAACGGAATTTTTTATTTCATGGATGGAATATTCCATTCTTGTGATTATATTTAATAAACTATGAATAAAAGAGTAGCAATACAAAACCATAAATAATTTTATTAGTTATGTAAATTTTAACATAGATTACTCATAAAAAAATAAAATCAATTGAAAAAAAATATACGTAGATGATATATTGTACTTATATATGTTCCTAGATTCAACTCATATCAACAAAGTGAATCTAAATGATTATTTGTATATTAATGTAAATCAACATGTTGCATAAATTTCTAAGTTATATTTTTTAATACATATTTTTCTTGGTTGCAAATATTATTTTTTATATTATAAAATTAATTAATTATTATTATTTTTACAATTTATAAAAAATATTAATACTGGAATATTCCATCCAATCTTAAAAAGATTCCATTAAAGTTAACAAATTTATGCACCAATAGATTATAATAAGATGAATTATAGAGACGAATGATGAAAATAGACTATCGAGACATAGGGACTAAAATAAAACTAAATATTAAGATGATGGACCATTAGTGAGATTTAGCTGAACTAGATACTAATTTTATTAAATAGTATTTAATTGCGAATTTCAAATTTATCGCGGACCTGAATTAGTTTGAATTATTACATTTAAATGCGTTAATAGTTGGTTACTTGGCTTGTCTCTTTAATTAGTAGGTCATATAATCTACATGAAAAAATAGTACATGTTGACACTATTTCACATTTTCTATCATTTGCTTTTTACTTTATAAAATAAAATAAAATAAAATACATTGCTTTCTTTATTTTATTTACTTTAAATCAATGGGGTGATGTATGGGAGAAGCACTAGTAGGTATAAACACACACAAGAGATGAGGTAAAAACCACCTAAAAGGCCAAAGCCTAATCATGTCAGTCCAATAATAAAGGTTAATTTCAATTTTAATATAATTTAAAACAATTATAATATATAAGAAAAATACAATTTTAATATAATTTAAAACAATTATAATATATAAGAAAAATAAAATTAGAATGATTAGGGTTGGGACTGAGTTGGTTTTAGCCAAGTAATCGTTACCAACCTATATTTTCAGGCTGATACTAACTTTTTAATCGACACATTAGATTGGGTCAAAAGTCGGTTAATCTTACTAAAAATACAATTGTAATTTCTAAATATATGGTGTGGTGGGATGCTCCTAGTTTTTTTTTTTTTTTTTTTTTTTTTTTTTGGTTTTTTTTTCCCTTTCTATAATGTTGATAGTAAACTAAAGTTTGAATTTTGAACTTGAAATATTTTTTGTTGATTTACTTTTAATTGTGATGAACTTGTGAGTGACGATGGCAATAGAATGTGCATGTTTGGAATTAGTTTGAATTTTGAAATTTTGTTATTTGACGAGTTGATATTTATTATTATTATTATTATTATTATTAATTCGATTCGGAAAATTGGAATAAATAACTTGTTATGTAAAAAAATAAATCAAGAATCGGATCATAATTGTCGGAATTCGAAAAATTCTGGTTTTCAGTAACCTAAAATGTAAAATAGATAATAACTTTTATACTATGAGTATAGGAATAAATGAATATCGGAATTTATAGAATTAAAATCAGATCCAAAATCGAAATCTCATGTATATTCCAATTTCAGAAAAAAAAAAAAACGGAATTGAAAATTCCTTCCAAATTACAATCATTGAAGCATCTAGTCCGTTCCATCTGGTCCAAGCCCAATTCCAATCTGGCCTTTGCTTTAATCTATATCTGAGTTGGGCCTTAATTTTGTTTCTCGGGCCGGGTTGGCCCACTACGTTTTAGTTTTTGTTTCATTAGAAATAGCTATTACTTTCATAACTAATTAAATATTTTTATTCAACAAAAAATTTATTCAAAGGTACTTGTAGCCCAAATTTTTTAAATATAATTAATTTAATTTAGTAAATCAATTAAACATATTAATGAGATAATTAATAAATAAAGCTAAATACTCAATAATTAACAAAATGCCAACATCGGATACCCAATATTGAGATTTTATTAATATAAAATATTTTCGTAATTTAAATAATTCAAATACCTCGCAAATTACATAAAATAAAAATAAATTTAAGATTATATTAATAAAAAAACTCGTTCTGGTCTCTTACAAAATTACAAGTAAATAAAATTCGTAATAGTTTTTTATAAATTTTTATTTCACTAATTGTTGGACAATTATCAAATTTGTGAATTTAATTACCATAATTGAATATTCGACATCACAACTTGTCAAAATATCTTCTTTTACATGTGCAAGTTGACTACTTGCACAAAAATGCACTGTTTAAAATATTTGGATTTCTTAATTTGGAGATTTTTTAAACTTAGGCCGTGTGCTCGCTCTCCTTTGAATTCGATTAAAAGTCATTTATACGGCAATTTATGAATAACAAATGTCATGGTTATTAAAATTTTACGATTTACAAGTTATGTAAGTTCGATCCATTCAATTTTTTGTACAATTAGAAAATTAATTACTTGTACATTTTTACTCAAAATGAAGAACTACTTATTGTAAATTATAACATTAGCATTGATGAAAAATATTAATTTTTTGAATAAATAGTAATATGAAGAAGAAAAATGTAGTAATAAATTGAGTTTTTATTTATTTATTAAGTTAATACGAAGAAAATGGTAAAAATGCGCCAGATTCGTCCACGTGTCCGCCCGCCAATCAAGACCGTTGACGAGTGACACCAGAGCGGAAGCTTCAAGAAATAGTGGGACCCACACTTTATCCAAAAACAATGGTTCGCACCATGTGATCCAACTAAAAAGCTGACCCAGAATTTTCTGGAGTTACTAAATTACCCCTGAAGGGGGTTTCAAGTATATAACCACCACAAATTAATTAGAGGTGGAAATCGGACGCATTGGTTCGTAATCAGTCATTCCAAAAAAAATATATTAATTTTTTTTAAGTGAAAACATAAATTCAATCCCTTTCCAAATATTTGTTTTTGAAGAATTGAAAATTCGGATATCGAAAATTAGAAAGAATAATCTTGTTCCAAAATTAAAATTTTATAGATTGAAATCGGCTGAATGAAAATATATTTTACTAAAATAAAATACATAATAATTTTGATATAACAACTTCGTAAATTGTATGTAATTAAAATTGGATCGGGAATGAGAATTTCACATGTATTCCAATTTCGTTAGAATTTCTTTTTCAGGAAATTTAGAAATCCAATTTTTTGAAATTTAGAATAAAAAATATTATTGATGTTCGAAAATTTCGTTCCGACTTCCGATATGGATTAACCAACAAACAATTATATATACAAGATTACAAGCAATATTTCAACAAGTAGGCTAGGCACGTGCGAGGGGCAACGACGTCAGGAATGCGCGTAAAGTTGCCACGTGTGAGTCGCCGTCTCAATAGTACATGTCAAATCTCGTTCTAACTCATTTCCTTGGATCATTCGTCTTCTCTCTGAAAGCAAAAGCAAACTCAAACTCAAACTCAAACTCAAAACTCGCTCGAGTCGACTCGCATCGCAGCGCCAAGGCTAATCTCTCGTTTTCTAACCCTAGGGTTTTGATCGCAAGCTGCGGAAGCCGGTAAAGTAGAAGAAGCATTTCACAGCCTCCGAATGGTGCAGTTGATGAAAAACGGCAAACCGGAATCGCCGGCCGGAAAGGCGGCCCCCGCCGCCGTGAAGATGGAGCTGGAGGATCCTCTGTACGAGGAACACGGTCCGCTTCAGAAGAGGCCCAAGGTATTTACTCTTCTCTTTCTGTTTTCTGATTTGTTTTTACATGCGTTTATGATTTAGCAGCTGATTTCGAGTTTTTCACCGGTCAATTTTACAATTGGGGATTTTTCCTTGGGTAGCAGCTCTCTGTTTTATTGCAATTGACGTTGTTGCTATTCTAATATCTGCATCGAGCTGGGTGTTTTATTTTTGTGATAATTATGTTCTAATTGTATGAACTGCAGATTTTTAGGGCAATTGATTAGAATTTGGGCGTGTGTGCATTTATTTTAATTTTAAAACCTATATTACAGCAGCAGAGTTTTGGAATGGGAGGTTTTACAGCGCCAGCTTCCGGTTATAACCCTCTGGATGAGCCTAGTCCGTTGGGTTTGCGATTGAGGAAAAGCCCGTCGCTTTTAGATTTAATCCAAATGAAACTTTCCCAATCAAGCACTCCAAAAGACGGAAGTAAAAAACACGGTAAATCGCAGTCGATTGCTTGTGCTTCTCCTGCTGATAAGCTGAAAGCCTCCAATTTTCCTGCTTCAGTTCTTAGAATTGGGACCTGGGAGGTATATATATTTATATATTTATATATTTATATATATGCGCATGTTTGAAAAAGATTTGTTGCAAATGAAATTTGCTTGAAAATCGCTGAGAGCTTAATTGATTATGCAGTACAAATCGAGACATGAAGGAGACTTGGTGGCTAAATGTTATTTTGCAAAGCATAAGTTGGTCTGGGAAGTTCTTGATGGTGGTCTTAAGAATAAAATTGAGATTCTGTGGTCTGATATTATGGCTCTGAAGGCAAATTACCCAGATGATGGTCCCGGGACACTAGATATTGTGGTAATATATTTCTATCATTTTGTTGATGTGTAATACCTAGTTTTCCTTAATTTCTGCGGCAATGTTCTAATGCATGTCAATAACTGTTGCGTTATCTTTAACTTATTTTTTAATATTTTTATCGGTTTTGTTTGCAGCTTGCTCGGCAACCTCTGTTCTTTAGGGAGACTAATCCACAACCTCGGAAGCACACCCTCTGGCAGGCAACTTCAGATTTTACTGATGGACAAGCTAGTTTGCACAAGTAAGATAAATATTTATGCAAGCTTGCTTTCATATGTTTACCCTTGTTTTGCTTTTGGCTGGATAAGCGGCCATCCGTAATAAGCTTTCCCAGTTCATTCATGTTCAGTTTGTCCATTTATGTGTTTCTGGTTCCTTGCCAAACACATCCCTCGTTTTTAGCTCGCACCTCCTCTCCTGTGTAAGATTAGGAAGTAATATTGTTAGTCTACCTAGGATGAGTTCTTTTATTTGAAAATGAAGCTTTGTGGTTTTCTTTTGAGTGCTCGATAATGGGTGGTAGAATGTGCTTTGCCTGCATGCGATTTTTCTTTTTATATGCTATAGATTGCCTCTGGTTCTCTTTCTTCATATAGTTTCGTAGTTTCAGGAATTTTCTGAGGATGGGAGTACCCACAAGATGAAAATTTTATTACTCGTCAGATGCTGTGCCTTTTTTTTCCCTGCAAGAATATTTTAGGATTATATTATTCAAGTAATACTTCTTGTCTAAGTTGGTAAAGCATATTGTGTCGTGTACTCCTTGATCAATAGATTCTTGAGATGATCTGATATGGATACTATTTCGTGTGCTGGATATAAATCATAATCCGGAGTCATCCATTAGGACCTGTTTGAGCATGGTCCCCATCCTCTGGTGGAACTTCTCTAAATTGAAGTGTTGTTTGTTGCTTACTGTGCAGTTCATCTGTGTTTTATGCATATGTTTTGTTATTCGATTACATCACATAATATATTTTATGTCATACATGTCTGCGTTTGGCTTTCCTCTGTCTGTCATTCAAGTAATTTTGTTTCTTTTTTTTTTTTTTTTTTTTTTTTTTTTTTTTTGCAACTTATTGTCTTATCTTACATGTGTGAACTGGGGTAAATCTTTGTTGCAGGCGGCATTATCTGGAATGCCCACAGGGCATGTTAGGAAAGCATTTTGAAAGACTTGCTCAATGTGATCCACGCTTGCTTTTCCTTAGTCAACAAGGCGAGATAACATTAGATTCTCCATATTTTGAACCCAGAATCGCTGTGTTTGATGATCAAAATGAAGATCTGAATAGGGAGGGAAGTCCTTCCATTTTTAGCATAAATGATGGGACTTCTCAATCAGGGGCTCAATCTTCTTCCTCAAAGAATGATCAAGATAGTCTGAGTCGATATTCAGAATCCCACCGTCATGAAACACCATCACCATGCTCAGGTAAAATGTTATCATGAAATTGAATATCATGCTTAGTTTTGAAATTTATTCTGGCACTTGCTTGGAGTATACTGTAATTATACTTAAATGATGCCCTCGGTATTTGTTTTCACGCATACATAATGTTTGTTTACATAGAAAAAAAGCATAAAGTCATCTGAAGTCTATATATCTGATGATATTGTTTGTTTTCGATTGTGGATGTCTCACAATATCTCCTTTTGAAAACGAATAGCCTTCTTCCCTTTTGTCGTTTTAATGAAATGTCATTATCAGTTATGTATTCGCTTTTCGAAAAATTACATATTGCAAGGGTTACCCAATTGAAACAATAGTTAGTTCCTGATTAGTGATTCTTTTTTTTAATCATCATATTAAATAAATGATAAAGACCTTATGTTAAAGTAGAGATTTAAATTTAAGTAGATAAACGGAAGAATCTAGACTATTAGATTATCGAATGCAATGAATCATCGTCTCCCACAATATCGACATTTTTCCTTACTTAAAGAACGAAACTTAGATGGAATATTGATTTCAGAATTTGTCCCTTTTCTCTCAGGTAGGAACCCGTTGACGGTTGAAGAAATCAAAGGCTGCGAAATCGAGCAACTGAACGCACTTAGCGGGTGGGGTATGATTAAGGTACCTGGACTAAGCTCCTCTATGTCTGTATCTGACTTAGTCAGCCACCTCGAAAATCGAATATCAAAGCACGGATCGTCCGATAATAAGACACCGCTCTCCACTGAAGAATGGCAGAGCTTCCAAGTTTTAGAAGACATTAACCGCTGCTTATTCAGCGATATCCAAAACATGCCAGGCTCGGACGAGAAACTGCTCATGTCTAGGGTCAATTCCCTTTGCTGCCTTTTGCAGAAAGACTCTAAAAACGACAGCTTTGCAAATGCATCTCTTCTTCAAAATGGAGCAAATGAATCGAACAATGCTGGTGCTTCGACTAGTGGAGATAAGTTCGAAGATATCTACGGCTACGATCAATCGACATCATCTATGGCTAGGAATGACTCGGTGGGAGATTTGCTGCTCAACCTTCCCAGGATAGCTTCTCTACCTCAGTTCTTGTTCAATATTTCGGAAGACTTTGGAAACCAAGCTAGATAAACGAATAAATAACCACTTCTCAACAACCTAGTATTTTAAATTAAAGATTTGTTATTTCTTCGAGTATTGTAATATTGTTATTAGCTCACCCGCCTATAGAAATTAGCCTTTAAGAAAGGCGACTACATTTTAGCCTTGTGTAGTTCATTTCGTCACACACGGGTGCCTACGGATCCAAGTACTGGTTTCGAATTCCGATCGACGCATCAAGTCTGTACAAGTATGAAGAAGCTTTCAGCTAGAGTGGCCGTTTATAAGTAGTAAAAAGTGTCTTTTTGTGTACAAAGTGTATTTAGAGTGTATATATGTTGTTTGTTTGTGGTTTTACTTGTTATAGATCTTCTTGTTAACAGATGACATCGAGTGGTTCGACATTCTGGGTGTCGTAATTATTTCGTGTTCATGTGGTAATTAAGAGAACTCTCAAGGGCCCTTGTGTAAATGAATGTTTTATCGCTCTCTTCGATCGGTTTCGTATTTTATTCATATTCCTCCGTTTCGATATCTTCTAAAACATCATTTCTTTTGCTTCATTTGTAACATGATCTGGTTTATAAGCAATATTTCGGTTCGATTATTCGCATGCGTGGTATATTAGATAGTATTATATACGGACCAAGAAATCAATACTATTATTTACTTATAATACCATGATTCTTTAGAATCCTGTTTTAAATATTTAATCACATCATCCAACGGTCAACAAAACACATTACAATTACAACAAAAGAACACCCATACTTTCTATATATTGCTGCACATACAAAAAAGAATAAACCACATAATAAAAAAAATAAAAAAATACACACACATATATATAGATATAACAACAATAATAAATAGAAGCTTACAACCCTTGATCAGTTCCTTCTTCTTCATCCATCACTTCATTTTCCTGCAACATATCCATAAGCATATTAATTTGGTTTTGCAGCATATTATTCTGCCTCTCCACATCAGCACGTTTGCTCCGTTCTTCGAGCAACTGCAGCTGAATGTGCTCCAAACATCGAGCATCCTCTTCCAACTGCTCGTTCAGCCCATCTATTTCTCTATCCTGCAAAAAAAAATTAAAAAAAAAACCGTTTATTTCGTGTTCAACACGATGTAAGCAAAAAAAAAAAAAAAGCAAGGGAGTCATGATTTCGAAACCTTTCGATTCATTTCTTGAACGGCGATTCTTCGCATGCTCTCGACAACATCCACATTTACGAGCTTCCGTTTTTTTCCGATTAGCCATCCACGCGGATATGTGGCGGACTCGAAATCGGGAGGCGGAAGCAGTGTTTCTGCAGAGGGGCGTTTCCCGTTTATGTTGATCGGTGGTTCGAGGGGTTCGAAAAGAGCCTTTCGTTTTTCGGAGAGAACTGAGGAAGGGTTCGGTTCCTGATTCTTGTTCTCTTCAGAAGGTTCTAGAACTTTCTCTGGGGATTTATCGGTGTCCGAAACTGTTTCAAGTGTGGAAGATTCTTGCGGTTTGTCGTCTGGTACTGTCTTGACTGGATTCTTCTTCGTGCCTACTGCTCCAAGATATATATATATATATATATATATATAGCAGCAGTTTTGAAAGTATATATATATATATATATATATATATATATATATATATATATATATATATATATATATATATATATATATATATATATATATTTATTTCAAACTGTCTCCTAATTCTAGAGGTGCAAAGTGGAACATAATTTATGAATTCGGCTCATTCCAATCCGAAAGTTTCCGAATTTGGAACAAAAAAATTTCATTCCCAATTCAGAAAGTTATGATTTCCGATTTTTTTTTCTCGATTTTTTTGGAACCGAATTGGAATACATGTTAGATTCCGATTTCCGATCCAATTTTAATTTCCGAAAACATTTCCATAAAATTCGACTTTCTTTTTCTTTCGAAATGTGTACTCATAATAAGATAACATGAAAAAACTTAAATTCCGATTCGAAAATATCCAATTGTGGAACAAATATTTTCATTCCAATTTTCAAAATTCCGATTTATGATTTTACCCAAAAAAAACTGGATTTTTTTTTTCTTCTGAAAGAGCTAATTCTAAAAACTGGATTTAACTTGAGGATTATAAAAAAATTCGAGAAAGGCTAATATTATAAATATTATAAATCTTCAACTAATTAATTAAAAGGGAAGACTAATCGGAACAGTAATTAACTTAAAAAATAAAATTAAATAAAAAAGTCGAAAGAAAACGATGGGAAAATTAAAAAAATTAACAGTAGCCACAAAGAACTGGTAAACCATTATTAGATGAAGTAACGTCCCAGCAAAGCTAAAAAACCCTAGTTTTTGCCAGTTGCCACCCACCCACCCCCACCCCCACCCCCACCCCCACCCCCACCCCACCCACATGTGACAGAGAAGGTTCATCAAAACAATAAACACATAGTAAAAATAAAAAATAAAAAAAAAAACCTGATCTTTTTCTGGATTTCCAGAGAACAGGAGAGGAAGAAACAGGAGAGAAGCCATTAATACTGAGAGATCCAAACCTCTTTGCTTCATCCATCGAACAAACTCACTATCATAATCCAATTAATTATTTCTTCGTTTTTTTACTGTAATTTTGTTCTTCTTACAAGCAGCTCCACAAACGCTGGAGAAAGTAGAGAGAGAGAGAGAGAGAGAAGAGAGAAGGAAGAAATGAGGGGAATTTAAGAAAAATGGGGATATATATATATATATATATATATTAATTTATAATTTAATTGGTGCGGAATAATCAAAGGTTTTTTTTTTTAATTTTAAATTTTAATTTTTTTATGGAGGGGTGAGATTTGTCTGTTTTGGTAGTTTGCCTCGTTATGTGTGATTGATTTCTCTACCTTTGTTGCGGGTTCCCGACCCTACACCCGGTGATAAACACCGGGTGTAGGGTCGAAAACCCCCTAGTTGTGTGTCCCTCTCCCTCGCA